GATTCCTGGCCTAAACTTTTCGACAGATTGTGTATGATTTCAATTATTATTGAAAATTTCTGTGAATTGAAACAGAAATCATCGAATTTTATAAGATTTCGGTGGGTTTCGTGAGGACTCGAGGGATTTCAAGTGGCCTTTAAAGATCGTAAAACACATCACTAGCCCCTAACTCAAAGCATGCACGACGCAGTGACTATGGTTAAACCAAGTATCTTTGAGCGACTAGCGACTCCCGTAGCGACGCACCATCGCGCGATACTTCTAGTGAAAGCACGTAAAGCATTTTTGTCGGCCCTTTTTTCGTATCTATATGATGATCTGTGAAAGCCTATACTATTAGCTAGAGAATTTGGCACTGTTTTCAGTCATAAACTTACAGAAATATCGTTTTCTCGGTACACTATTTTGTTTTACTATCACTCGTTTTTGTCTGACCTTGCGTAAACCTGTTGCAGAGGGATGCCCACCACTGCAATGGCCGACTGTGCTGGCGGAATGCACGCATGACGGTCAGCCCGTTGCCTGCAGTGAACAACCGTCACCGACAGGAACAGTGGCCAGATTTCGCTGCAAGCCCCTGCACCAGTTTTTGTTCGGCTACCTACCCTCTTCAGGCCTCGAGTCCCGCTGCAGAAGTGATAGAGAGTGGAGCACAACGCCGTTCCGCTGCGCCCCGAGTATGAATTGCATGTATACACACACTCGTTACCGCACTTAGAGATTTGCTTCACATTGGACTACACCCACATTTCTACACTTTCTACAAGTTTCAGGGTATCTTGGGCGTCACTTCTGGACGACGTAATGCCTGGCGAAAATCCTGGCAACCACCCCTAAGGGGGTGAAAGGGAGTTAGAAATAGGGGTTGATCCTTTGAACTGAAATTTTGTCCGTTTGCCTCTATCTTGCACCGTTTGGGCGCTACCGTGTTTTTTTCGACGAAAATAGGGAGAAATGGACCACGTTGCACACAAAAACGAACAAGGAGTTTTAAGACTGTTTCCCCATCAATACAAACTGAAAACTGCGGTAGTCCTTCTTGTTTCAATTCTTCAGCAAAGCAGAAGGCTGGAGTGTAGTTACGGTTTCGCCCCGTTGTAGTCTAATGTCATGTACAAGGAGAATATCTCTAGGGAGATTCTCATAATACGGGCCATTTCGACGCGTCCGGCGAACAAAGGCAAATCTGCTGAGCGCCCGGTAACAAAGGCGAATCTGCAGAGCGCCCGGTAACAAAGGCGTATCCCCATAAGAAATCCTACACAGATTCGCCTTTGTTACCGGGCGCTCTGCAGATTCGCCTTTGTTACCAGGGAGCTCCGCAGATTCGCCTTTGTTACCGGGCGCTCCGCAGATTCGCCTTTGTTCGCCGGACGTGTCGATTTATATTCCGCTTCCCTTCACAACTATGTGATATGGTTTTAAAAGGGTTTTATACCATCTAGATACTCAAAAGCACTAACATTACCTGGTGAAACACTAAAAACCTAAGAATACTGCAACAGTGGGTGACTAGAGCAGTTAAAATGGCCAAAATGTGAACTCCAGTACGTTCCTAATGTCCGAGTCCGTGCGAACTTTGCCAAATTCTGGTCAATTTTAAGGGAATAGTAATCCAAGGCACATTGCATTTCTGGAGTGACATATTCACGGAAGGCAATGAATTTCGATGAGGAAATATTTTTCTATATTTCGTCACGAGACGACCAAAGTCGTTCTCACTACCTTTTTTAAAAGCAAACGGAGTTCACAATGTTTGCACTGACGTCAAACTGGGTAGAGGTAGAGTAACAATTCTACGCCCACAGTACTACTCTCTGAGGACTATTAATGTTCCCCGAAGCAATTGGCAGAGCCTCTACTACGTCATCGTGAAAAACTGCCTTCAAATTGTAAAGTTGGCTTCTACGCTTTTGCAGTGTGAATACCGTATCGACTCCACACATGCACGATTGCGTCATATCAAATCCCTCTTTCGATGAAAAGGAAGGTTTTAATGTGCTGCTTCTTTTGTGGCCAAGTGGGTCGTTGCATCTGGAACCCCGGATTAGTAAGCCTTTTATTAGTGCCTTCTGACTTCTGAACTCCGTATTCCCTTTTTTCGGTCTGACTTTTGTCTAATAACTTTTAGGTACAGGTAACGCGTTGTAATGACCTAATGAGGAAAAATGTAGTAACAGGTTAATTAAAAACTGTACATTTTGAGGTTGGGCATCTGTGAAACAGTGTCGGGGCGAAAAACAAGTTATTTATTGCAATGTTCTGGTCATACTTCAACGCTTAAAATGGGGATGACTGGATGTAAAATATGTAACACACTAGTGGAGCAAACAAAAAACCAATTTAAAGGTGCGGGAGGCAATATTTGAGTTTCATCATTGATCGAACGTGACCACAATATGGTCTTTTAATGTTGAACAAGAAGTATGTGATTTGAACTACTGCCACGTTACACATATCCTATTTAAAGGTAAATAAAACCATTGCGACCAAAAAACCTAGCAAATTCGACAAAAAAAAATAAAAAATAATTAAGAACGCCCAAATGGCCCGTATTCTGAGAATAATCCTCTAGGGCCTCGGGCCACCCGTCTGAAGCATTAGTTTACTCGAATATGCAAAGTGACTTACATGTCGGGCCGCAGGCCTGACCAAATTCCGCCGGCAGGGCAAGCTAGGCTCGGCCCCTGCCGAACAGAGTTGCCTGCGGAGCGCAGTGTCCGCAAAGAAAATCATAACGAGGGTACTAACCAAGGCATAGCAAAATTTTCCTTAGCTGAGCCGGTGAGTATATACGTGCCTATTACAATGCGACGGGTTTGAGCGGGTCGAAAGCCCGGCACATTATTTGAATACGTTCCCCAGCGTGGCTGAAATGGTCGGCCCGCACCGTCGGCAGGCCAAGCAGGGCCGTCCCCTAGTGAACGGAGCTGCCGGCCGGCCATGGTGTTTGTTTTGTTGTACAAGCTTTTTCAAAAAATTTAAAAAAACGTCTGTTATAGGCCATTTACTCTGTGATGCCCCGTTAAAAGTATCCAAAATCCCTAAAATGTTGTTTTCACACCAGTCAGACGATGTAATCCATGAAATCTTGTGATGGATTCGGATTCAACATACAATTTTCCTATTAAAGACGAAATTGATGATTTAAATAGGAAGGGATGCGTTCTAAGTGTGACTTGTTCTTTAAAATTCTCCTTAGGTTGTAGGTTTAGTTTCTTAACCACCGCCTAATTCGCATTGCAGTTTGCGGACAACCAACTGGGAAAGCGATTGGTTTCGTTCGCGATGGGATACTGTCAAATTCAGCGGCCGACTTTCCTTGGCACGTTTCTATTTACGACAGGACCCTTGACAATGAGCAGGTCTGCGGTGGATCACTTATTACGACAAAATTTTTCGTGTCCGGTAAGTGCCTGTGTTCCTTTTCGGATCGTAAACCACGCGATCTTCTCACTATTGCAAAGGGATTAAGGGCCTTGTATATGACTATGTCGAATATTAATCGTACAAACTGTGGACAAGTTGGACAGGTCGAATAACTAACTTATTTTCAAATGATCACATAAAAAGTTACAAGTTATAACCTTAACTAACGTTAGAGGCAGTTAAGTAAGAAGTTACAGAGCCCTGCTTTTAGGATGTTTTAGTGACGTTAGTTCATTGACCATAACAAGTAGGAAATTTAGTAAAAAATTGTGACTTATACGAAAAACAAAAAATATTTGCTCTGACAGACAATAGAAATGCTGGAAACCGTACTGAGATAACATAAGAGATAGTAGCAACATAGACTATTAGTCAGTATTCCACTACCAAAGTAAAAACCTGGTTACAATATAGCGCGTAAACAGTCTTTGCAAACGCGATGAAAGTGAATTTATTCATTTGATCTAATACGAACCTAGGAGAACGCTGTGCGTTTTCCCAGTATTTTTAGTCCACATTATTATTGCATGTAACTTGCTGTGTCGGTTTCAGCTGCACACTGCTTCCACAATGGTACTTTCCATCCTGAGACGATTTACCTTGCTGGATTCGGCAAGATCAAAAGAAGCGTTGACGTTGTCGAAGCGAACGAGCAGTACAGAAAAGTAAGTTTAAGTCAGACAACGTCTGGGCAAGTCTGTCTGTCCGTACGTCTATCTGTTTCCCAAGAAGGACGTACACCGGAGGTCTGAATTTTTTAGGGTAAGATTGATGTCACTTCTGGACAACCAAATGGTTGGTGCAAATCCTGGCAACTAACCCTAAGAAGGTGAAATGTAGTAACAAAGAGATAGGAGGAGTTGATTCATGAAGTGGGGGAAAAAATCCGTTTCGCTCCGCCGGCAACTCCGTTCGGCAGGGGCCGGGCCTGCTTGTTACAGATTTTTCAGCATATTGAACTGTCATGGTGTTTATGCCAATCGTGGCGATTGTACATTCACCGTGGTACAGCATGTTCACGATGAGAAAATTTAGCATAGGGAAATTCTCATGGGAATTTATTCACTTAAAGAAAACACCACTGTAAAGTGCCTAGGTAGGTGTATGCCAGGCGCGTGGCAGCGTAACAGTGTTCCGTGAGATATCGTGAAGCCTGTTACGCGAGACGTCTGTCGTACATCTACTTAGTATGACGGATGCGCAGAATTCTTAGAAATACAAGAATCTTCTGTGTAAGGATTTAAGAGTGGCTTGAACCAACATAAAGTTGTGACGTTTCCAGCTACGGAAGATTTATCTGAAAGATTATGGAGGAAGAAACCAGCTGTACTCCAACGACATTTCTATAGTGGAGCTGCAATCTGACGTAGATATCACGTCTTCAACTATGCCGGTGTGTATGGACTGGAGTTTCGATTTACCAGAACTGCAACATGGAGACCTTGGCGTGGTATGTATTATTTAGCTTCAACGCAAATAATCTGAAGGAACGTCTTGTGACTGAACGAAAATGCTTTTTTGTCTTATTTTTAAGGTTGTTGGATATGGAAACACTTTGGATAATCCGCATGCAGATCTGCACTTCGCCAAACTACCGTTTATTAAAAGCGATGAGTGCAAACATCGCGTAAGTGATAGTTTAGCTATTTACAACAAACTTCAGGATAAATTCTGCATCGGCTTTATAAACAGTAAGTTCAAAGTCGTAATAATTAATAACTTTTTTGGCGCAGTATGCTGTGTGTGTTCCCTCCGCTTGTATGTCTCTGTACTCACTTTGCTCACTGCACGGAAAAAAAAAGTTAGCTGCCCCAGCTTAACATTAGGTATGCGAGCCAAAAGTTAGCTGCCTGGAGGACAGACAAGAAAATTAGGAACAGTAGCTTATGAATTCGGTGCGTGAGCTAATCTGTGACTGTCGCAGATCAAGCGTTCCCTGTAGTAGCCCAACTACATTAGTTGTACGAACGAATGGTATTTCGCATTCGTTCGTACAACTAATGTAGTTGGGCTACTACAGGGAACGCTTTATCTGCGACAGTCACAGATTAGCTCACGCACCCAATTCATAAGCTACTGTTCCTAATTTTCTTGTCTGTCCTCCAGGCAGCTAACTTTTGGCTCGCATACCTAATGTTAAGCTGGAGCAGCTAACTTTTTTTTTTCCGTGTGGTCGCTGGGTGGCTCTGCCAGTAAGAACGCAACACCAGAATATGGAGGTTAGGTGCATGTATCGATTTGCGACCCGGGGATTGTCTTTAAAGCCCCCCGCAAATCTTGCGTTAACAACTGTGCCTAAGTTAGGGGTTAGGTGCATTAGGGCGTTCCATTTTTAGGAGTGAAGCCAGCGATCTATTTGGAACGCAGCTTAAATGAAAATACACGTCGAGGAGTTTCCAACGACGTCGCGCGAGGGGCGCTGCAATGTCGGGAACCATGCGCAAGAATGGATTTTAGGCCTTTGGCACTTTCTCGCGTAGATCACGATTTTTACAACACTTTTCATCTACAGGTAATATTTTAAGGTCCAGGCCCAAATTGTAGTTTTTAGTTGAATTCCCCATAAGAAAGTAATGTTAAAGTTTGAGCTCGTTTCGGCAGGGTCAAATATTGTTCCATTTTCACAATAAAAACCTAAGCTTGCGCTAACGTGGAAGCAGATAATACAGCTTTGATTTTCACAAGGGGAAATAGGCTTGAACTTCGGTGTACGTTTCCTTGAACTTCGGCGAACTTCGGTGAACTTCGAGAACTTTGGTGAACTTCGGTGAACTTCGCGGAACTTCAACCGAAGTTCTCGCACTTCGACCTGGTCAAGAGATATGGAAGCAAAATTCTCCCTTTGTAATCTTTGTAATTCGGGCCGTAGATACCTGCTTTGAGTAAGCTCGAGATTCGCTTATTGTAAGCAATTAAAATTGCTAAGAGCAGGAGCAGCCGTAAATATGTACTAAAATATTTTGAACTTCAGTGAACTTCTAAATTTATTTTGAACTTCGGGGAACTTCGACATTTATTTTGGACTTTGGGGAACTTCGACATGTACTGTGAACTTCGAGGAACTTCGACGCTCATTTTCAACTTCGGTGAACTCCGTGAACTTCGATGCATTTCGGTGAACTTTGGAAAATTTCAGTGAACTTCGATAGAATTTAACCAAGCGAACTTCAGTGAACTTCGGCCGAACTTCAGTGAACTTCGACTGAAGTTCATGAACTTCGACTTCGGGTGTACAAATTTTTGAAGCCTATTTCCCCTTGGATTTTCAGTCAGTGTGCTTTAAATTGGGGAACATAGTTGTATGTAGGCCTTTGCCCAGAGTGGGAGAGCGTAGGAGAACTCAGTGGTCAGTTGAACAACTATACTATAACAGCAAAAAGAGGTCTGCTAAAAGGAGACAAAAGTTAATTCAATCGACTTCATGGACTCCAAATCGCGGGTAGTGGTTTATAACACATAAAATAACATCTTTCTCTTGACTACTCATTTTCCAACCCCAAAGGTCCTCTTTTATATTACACATGGGCATAGTTAGAAGTGGTTCAGGAATTCCCCTTAAATTGGCGTAGCTACGACGACTGGCGAATAATTTGCTGATGCGGCGAATAATTTGCTGACTAAACAAATAATTTGCTGAGACAGCAAATCATTTTGCTGACGAAGCAAATAATGTGCTGCCACAGCAAATCATTTTGCTGACACAGCAAATTATTTTGCTGGCACTATGCTGTGCAACAGGTGGGGGCTAATGAACCACTTTTTGGGGACAACGGACCCCCTCCCTCCCCTGGGGCCCTAATATATAGACGTAAATATTGTCTAATTGTAATTACGTCGTACAGGTAATTACAGGGTAATACAGGTAATTACAGGTGATTTCAGGTAATTACAGGTAATTACAGGTAATAAATCCAACAGGTGGGGGCGCATGAACCACTTTTTCGGGACCACGCACCGCCTCTCTCCCCTGGGTGCTCTAACATATAGACGTCAAAAGTTTTTAATTCTAATTACGTCGTATCTTTTGCTATCTTTGCTAAATGTTTTGCTGTGACCATGGCTGAGAAAATAGTTTGTCGCTATGGTCACAGCAAAACATTTAGTGGCCTTAGCCACGCGTCCGCGGAGAGGCTGGGGAAAAAACCTGTCGGGTGTAAATTGGCACGAAAGTGCCAAAGGCCTAAAATCTATTCTTGCGCGTGGTTCCCGACATTGCAGCGCCCTTCGCGCATTGTCGTTGGAAACTCCTCGACGTGTATTTTCATTTAAGGTGCGTTCTGGCATACAGATTTTACTAGCCAGGACCTTCGGTCCTTATGCTGATCTCGCCTCTCTCTCTCTCTATACTACCGACACAGTCCGTGTCTTTCTCCACCCCTAAATCATTCTCGCCCCTCACTCATCTACCCCTCCTCCTCTTCGCGT